CTTCCTTGCTGTCCCCCAGTGTTTACCATCTGCAGCACATTCCCAACATTTAGATACATGCTAAATTGTCTCGAGATCACTTATGGGAAACAGCTCACTCTGTGTTTGGCACGTGGCAGGTGCTTAGTAATTATGTCCTGGAAGATGGGTTTGTTTATTCATTTATCTAATGGGCTTAAGTTGGGGGCCTGAGATGTATACAGATGTGGCTCTTGATCACGCCTGTTTCTCCCACTGAAAGTTCTCCTGCCTCAGAACAGGCCTTGTGAGCCTGATTGATCGTCATGTTAGTTAATGAGTCATTTTAGGATCCTGTCTTTAAACAATGGCCAAAAGCAGAGGGAAAAACAAAGAAAAGCGTCAGCACCTGTTGTGCTGGGGCGAACTGGAAGCCCCAGAGGCTCTGCTTAGCAGTTCTCTTGGGATAATTAGCCTTGCATCCTGGTCAGTGCTCCCAAGTACAGTTCATGTCCAAGGCAGCTCAAACTAGTGATGTGAATCGTTTTACAACCCTGGGTTCTGGCCTTCGAAGCAGTATTTTCTCATTATGGGCCTGATAATCACACACTCCTTCTGTGGAGATGGCTTGGCAAATGGTGCCTCCTGCCCCAGGTCTGACTGGTTAGGGGCTAATGCAGTGACCATGTGCAGCTAGAGCTGTAGTTGCTGCAGAGAGCAACCACTCTCGCTGCGGTGGACACCATCTGGCTAGCGGTGGGTCCTGCGTGGCAAGTGTTTGCTGTGCACCTGCTGGGATCTAGTGGAGCAACTTGAGTGGGTAGAACTGGTATCTGCCTTCTGTACCTGAGACCCTGCCGGGGTGCTCCAAAACAGTGGAGCACAGCCACAAGATGCCTGCCCAGCAGTATCACCCTGCCATCTGCCTATAAGCCTTAGGCAAGCCACCTCAACTCTCAGCCTAGGGACCTTCCAGTCTGAAAAAAAATGCAGGTGAGCAGAGTGGCGATTGCAACTTTTAACAGGAGCTGATTTGTGTAACATGCTCAGAACAGAGATAACCTCATTGTAGGGACGGAGTCTTATAATATGATCAAAGACCATGCTTAGGCATCTCAGGGAATCTTCTAGGCCAGGGCTCAGCAAACTAGCATCTAGGGGCCAAATCCAGCTCGTCACTTGATTTATAAATAAAGTTTTATTGGAGTACCGTCAGGTCCACTGAAATATCTATTGTGTGTGATTGTGTTCATGGTACACAAGGGAGAGGACCAGGGCTGTGGCAGAGAGTATGTGGTCCTCAAAGGTGAAAATATTTCTAGTGTGGCCCTTTACAGAATGAGGCCCACCAACCTCTGCTGTAAGTACTGTGAGTGATAGCAGAGCCTGGGAGTCCAACCCAGGCTGGGAATCAGGACAGGCTGGGAAGATGCTCCTCCAGTAGACATTTTTCCAACCCCTGGCATATGCTGGGAACACAGACAGGGACTGTGGGTACATAGGCAATGAGAGACCTGGCCCCGCTGTCTGGGAGTTCATGATATAGTTCAGGAACAAACAGATGAACTACAGCACAACAGGTAAGTGAGAGGAAGGGGCTGATGGGGAGCACTCCTCTCCAAGACTGGTCAGAGAAAACTTAGAGAAGAGACTGCTTGGGGCAGAGCCATTTTCCAAGGGAACATTAGGGAGAGGGAGGGAACTGAACAGAGCTTGATGGTGACCAGTTACCTTTGCAAAGATTATGTATTGTTTTTATTTTTGTGTATGAGTGTATCGTCTGCATGTATGTAAGTGCACCTATGTCATACAATGCTCACAGAGGTCAGAAGAGGGTGTCAGATCCCTTGGAGTTGGAGTTATGAATGGTTGTTAGCCACCATGTGGGTGCTGGGAATTGAAACTAGGTCCCCTGAAAGAGCAGCCAGTGCTCTTAACCACTGAGCCATCTCTCCAGCCCCCCGCCATAGACCTTTTTTTTTTTTCCCATCACTGACCAAATAGCAGTTTAAGGACAGAGAAGTCTATTATGGCTCACAGTTTGAGAAGGTACGTCATTGCTGGAGGGCATTATGGAGTTCATGGTAGCCAGAACATGTGGTTGGAGTCCTCATGCCTCAAAAGACCAGAGAGCAGAGACCATATAGGAAACAGGGCCAGGCTGTATACCCGAAGACCTGCCTTCAGTGACCCATTTCCTCCAGGGAGGCTCCTCTTCCTAAAGGTTCCACAACCTCCCCAAACAGCACCACCAGCTGGTGACCATGTATTCACACGTATAAGCCTGTGGGAGATAGTTTACAGCTGAACTGCACCAGCCACCATGATGGGGCACCCAAGAGCTTGGGTTGCCATAGCAACAGTGTGAGGAAGGCTTTTCCTGTGTCAAGCTGGGCTGTGACACTCCCAGAAACAGTTTACATGATAGGACTGTAGAGGATGAGAGATGTGGAAGACATTTCAGCCTGACAGAGGGTCATTTGATGACACCATTAGACAGTGGGGAACATTCTAGATGGAAAGCCAGAAAGAATCAAAGAAATCCCCACCCACTATGGATCGTTACATTCTCCCATCTCACTGTCATGTTGTTCATCACCAGTATCTTGCAGAAGCCCAGGAACCAGTCTGCTGGTGTCCAGGCCACCCACAATGCTGTTGCTTCTATAGCCAGGCCCTGGCTCACAAGGCTATCATGGTTTCTCTGCTGTCCTTAGGACACAGCTCCAAGCGCTTAGCATGGCAGACAGCTTTTCCTAATGTGGCTCCTCCCATGGCTCTCAAGTCACCATCCTCTGCCTCCCACTCACTTAAACAATTGAATTCACTGGAAGTCTCTGGCCAGGGCCTGGAGAGATAGCACAGGGATGAAGAGGACATGAGTTCAATCCCTAGAACACACACACACACACACACACACATACACACGCACACATGACACACATATACATGTGTGTATGTGTGTGTGTGTATATCTATATATATACACACATATATATAGATATGTATATGTATGTTTGTATATAAATCCTGGCATGGTGGCACACTTTCAAGCTCAAGGCTAGGGAGTCAGAGGCAAAGGCTCTCTGGCCAGCTAGACTAGCCTAATTGGTGAGTTCCAGGCCAATGAGAGGCCCGCTTCCCTCCCCTGCCCCACCCCCAAAAGGTTCATGGCACCTGAGGAACAATCTTGGAGGTTGCCCTCTATCCTCTGCATCCACACATACATGCACACATGTACACACACACACACACAGTCTCTGGGCAAGTTACACTGTTCCAGTTACACTGTTCCATGCTGAGGCTCTTCCCTCTGCTGATTGCTTTTGCCTCTGAATTCAGTAGCTTTGTTTCCTCCAGGAAGCCCCTGAGCAGTCTCCCAGCCAGAGGAGCGGCTCCCTCCCTTACCTAAGTGTTCCTGAATATTCTTCTCAGAGCTGCCCCCTTCTGTGAAACCCATCCATGCCTGAACTAAGGGACAGGTGAGGAAGGTACCCACTTTCTGCATTAACTAAAGTAATGAGGGTCACCCACCGCTGCTGGCCAGTAGTGGGCTAAGTGAGAGTAAGATTCTGGGGGCTGGGCTGACTGGTTTGCATGGAGAAACCTCCAGAAGCCATCCATCACAGCCAGAGGAAATGAACCATAGGAAGTTCGTCCTCTTCAGTTTATAATATAGAGACCAAAGGGCAGCATCAGCCTCTTGGGAAGATCAGCATTAGATTGAAAGAGACAAAAAGAGACCCAGCTAGACATTAGTTCTGAGTCCTGTATCCATGATTTGGCACCACCCACTGCCTAGCTGCCCAAGTCAGAAACCTGTCAGCCATCCTTTCCACACCCCCCAACACCCCCAGTCACATCCATCCATCCCTAAGCGTTACCAGGGCCTGACCGCTCATCCTTCCCTTTACTGCCCCTCTGCCAAAGCCCACAACCCTCCTCACTACCAGCTCACAGCTGCCAGTCAGTTCCATGCCGGCAGCCAGACTGATGTCACCTCCCTCAGGAGAAAGCCCAGCTCTTCACAGGGGAGTGGCAGGAGGGGACGTTTAAATTAAGCTGCAGGCAAACTAGACCTTTCTGAGTCACCTCTGTGTACTGAAGGCTCAGCCAGGCAGTCCCCCAGAGTGAGATGGCTGGCACACCTGCTGTCTGTAGACCTGTTATAGACAATTTGTTCTAGAACGGTCCTTCTTTACAATAGCTCAGGCTCTGTCTACCAGACTTCCTCTCAGAGTACCCCTGCTACCCCCGACCCCTGGTGAGACACCCTTTAGAAGCCTTCAGTGTTCTTCAGAGGCCACCCACGTGAGTCACCTCCCCTCCTCTCTACCACAGGCTCCTCTAGCTACAAGGCCCCCACAATTGTGCCTGTCACTGGGGATTATGGGTATCATTGTACTTATTGAACCCCTTCCTTGGGCAAGACAGGGATAGTGTGGTGCTAATGGTGATAACACAAGGCGGGAACAATGAGCTGCTCACAGAGTAACCCATACCCAGCCCGGCAGCTGGTTAGTAAATATTTGTAGGAGACATGAATGACTAAAGGCAAGCTAAGAAAGAAAGATCTTGTCGAAATCTCCTTCGGAGAACATTCATTTAGTCAGCAAATAAACCAACAAAAAAGGAGAGAAGCTAGTGGAGGAGAGAGGAAGAGGCCAGGGAGTCTTCTCCAGACCCCCAGGGGTAAGAGAGCTACAATTCCACATGTGGCCTCATACTGCCACCAAGCCTGAGGGGATTTGTGTGCATGAAGGCGTGAAGAAAGAGTCCAATCATCTTGCAGCCAGCCAGATGTGCCTGGTGGCTCTTTGACAGCTGCCAGAATTGGCCAGATGTGCCTTGAACATCTTCAGAGACATCAAGGGGGGCCCCAGGGACCGCATGGCCTGTGGAGAAATAGTCACGTTCCTCAGGATGGGCTGTCTGTGAAGGAGGGGATGGGCCATGACTGTGAGTGTATCAGGACACTGAGGCTTCCAGAAACATCCTCATAGCCCCTGCTAGGCCCCTAAAATTGTGTTTCCTCCTCCTAGGTGATCAAACTGGCCTTTGAGGAGTTCGATTTGGAAAGGGGCTATGACACCCTGACGGTCGGGGACGGTGGGCAAGATGGGGACCAGAAGACAGTTCTCTACATGTAAGTGACACATTGCGTGTGGTCTGAAGCCAGTGGGAAGTGAGGGATTGGGCAGACTCACTGAGTCCTGACTGGTCCCCAGACTACGGACCGTGAGAACAGTGTCCTGTAGCACTCCTGGTGCCCACAGTACCCCATGCACCTCTCCACCCCAAACAAGGGGGACAGACCTCTGGGCCTGGTAGTCATGGAGAAGTCACATGAAGTGTCCAGACTAAGCAGTCTCAGGAGCAAGTCGGACAAGCTCTGTGCACAGCCTGGCTCTTTCCTCAGGGCCAGACGCTTCTCTGCCGCCTCACAATGTCAACTCTGTGGCGGCATCTGCCCCTGGCAGTCTGGCCTCCCACTGAGACAATGGAAATGTTTTCCATACTTTCTCACTATCTGGGATGCGGGCACAGTGACCACCTTTCCTGGGATGTGGACACAGTGACCACCTTTCCTGAGTGCAGGAAGTCCAGTGGCAAGGTCTCATCAAGGCAGTGATGGTACCAGGCTGCTGAGGTTCCACTGGGGTTTGCTTTGGGGGACCATTCAGTTCCTCTTCACCTACCATAGTAGTCCACCAAGGGGCCAGGAAACGCCCCTGTCCTGTATATATAGCCCAGCTCCAGATTCAGAGCATTGGTAGGCTGGGAACAAGCCTGGCTCCTTGGTCTCCCCTGAGGTACAGATTCATTCCTGTCACATTACTCAGCTGCCTTGGCACGGTGTAGGCCTCTAAGTGTCTCTTTCCTGACAGCCTGACAGGGAACTCGGTCCCAGATCTCATCGTCAGCACCCACCATCAAATGTGGCTCCTCTTCCAGACCGACGGCAGTGGTAGCTCCCTAGGATTCAAGGCTTCCTACGAAGGTAACTGCTTTCAAGGTGCAAATGGGGCGGGGGGGGCGGGCAGCTGGGGAGGTGGAGACTTGGGGTCTGCTTCTGTAGGTACACAGCCTGGGTTCAAATTTGGCTCAGACCCTTGCTTCTCAAATGCATCATTTGATTTCTCCGAGCCCCCACCTCTTTCTTTCTTTCCCTCTGTGCTGGGCTCTTTTGGGGTTTACCTGGAATAAATCTAAGTGCAACAGATCTATCCCCAATTCATAACTAGCTTGTGTAGACTATCTGAGCCTCACTTCTTCTTAAAATCTTTACAATGGGGACATTGGTCTCCCAAGCTACCCTGTAATAGATGAGTGATTGCATAGGACACATATACACCATTGTTAGTGGCCGGAGGAGAGTGCAGATAAGGGCCTTCATTCCCTTCAGTAACAGCCATTAAAGGAACTTTGAACTCTGGGGACCAAGGGGTAGCCCTATCATCACCCTTCATGTGCTTCCAAACCTCCTGCTGGTCAAAAGCGGCTTCAGAAAGAGGACAGAAGGAGTCATTCCATGAGTAGTGAACAGTAGGTACCAGATACCAGGCTAGCCCTAGGATAAAGTGCCAGACCCCAGGTCTTACCCAAGTGGCTTCTACTCAAGTGGGAAGACAGAGCAACCGAGTGTTAAAGCAAGATGGAGGCCCAGCCAGCCAGAGAGAATGCAGAAAGGGAAGCAGGCACCCTGTCCGGAGAAATGGTCCTAAGTCCTCAAGATAAGCCAGTGACTGCTAGAGAGACAGGAAGTACTCCCTCAGAATGGCTTACATACCTGGGTAATCCATACTGTTACTGTTTCCGCACTGGGCACATAAGAGGTGTTAGGTATCCTTGACGAAAAAAAAAACCAGGTCCCTTAAAACAACAACAGTCTGTGCCTGCACTGTTGGGAGGTTGTAAGTGTCCAAGTGTCAGCAGAGAATACCTCAGAGACTCTGGTGGTATCCTTCCTCACTTCTTCCTCAGGTGGCTGGCAGTTCTTGGTACCCCTCATCTTATAGCTGTATCTCCTCCTCATGAGGGTATCAGTGGTGTTGGGTTAGAGCCCACTCCATCCAATATGCCCTCATCTTGATGACATCAGCAAAGACTCTGCAGATAAGCTCACAGTTATTGATACAAGGATTTATAGCTACAGCAGTTTAATACAAAATAGGCTAGCCAGAAGACTAACCAGTAAAGTAACCTGCCTCTCATTCTACCATGTTCCCAGGGTAAAGATGGCTCTTATATTCTTCCAAGAATAGGGAAATAGGGAGCCTGGTCTAGGCGAGGCAGAGCAGAAGTCAGGACTCTCTGGATGACCAATGCCAAGTACAAGTCCTGGTTCTTCCACTTTGTCATTTAATGGTTGCCATTGAGCCTTTCCGGGCTCTGTTTCTTCACCCTGCAAAATAGAGTTAATAAAGCAACCTGGGTCATGGGACAGTCTGTGAAGACCATTAGATTCAAAAAATGAAAGAAGGAACTGGGCCTGATGGTACAGGCCTATAATCCCAGCTACTTGGGAGGGTGAGGAGGTGGATCACGAGTTCAAGGCCTGCCTGGGCTACAGAGCAAGTTCTAGGATGGTTCTGTTTCTTCACCCTGCAAAATAGAGTTAATAAAGCAACCTGGGTCATGGGACAGTCTGTGAAGACCATTAGATTCAAAAAATGAAAGAAGGAACTGGGCCTGATGGTACGGGCCTATAATCCCAGCTACTTGGGAGGGTGAGGAGGTGGATCACGAGTTCGAGGCCTGCCTGGGCTACAGAGCAAGTTCTAGGATGGTCTGGGTAACTCAATGAGACCCTATAGCTCAGTGGTAGAGGACTTGCCTAGCATGTGAGAGGCCTGGGTTCCATTGTCAATACTGAATTCAGAGGGAGAAAGAGAGAGAGAGAGAGAGAGACAGAGACAGAGAGACAGAGAGACAGACAGAGACAGACAGAGAGAATCAAAGCTAGTAATACCTGTGCTAGTACACAGGAATTACACTATAGATGGTTCTATACACCTGAGCAGCTGTAGGTGATGGAAAGAGCCCTAGGCAGGAAGCCAGGAGATCCTCATCCAGGTCCAGCTCTGCCACTCACTGCTATGAAAATAGGAATGGATTTAGATACACCATTCCCAGAATCTCCCATTTCTAAAATCCTATGGTTGTTCAGCTGTGAATGTCCCCAATCATGGGAAGGAACGACTTCCGATATCCATGTGTCCTTAATCAGACCATGTTTGACCAGAGGTTTGGTTAAGACACAAATACCCTGAGCCTAAAAGAGATGCTACCAGTCGGCAGACTAGAGAGACTGAAGCCGGGGAGCTCTTGGCTACGTTAGTAGGAGCCGATGAAGTAAGAAGTAGCAAACCCTCAGCTGTTTGAATGGAACCCTGGCATGAATCGTACTTTATTGTGACCTGATCAGCCACCAGAGAAGTGAACTTATATATGGGGACCTCAGCTTTGGAAAGGATTTAAGCCAATCCCTATGAGAGATGTTTGTGACTCTCCAATGTTTACCTGAGGGAAAAAGGTAGACTTGGGAAACTGAAGCTCTGTATCCAAATATTTGGAGGTTTGTCGCATGGGAAAGAAATCAGACCAGTTTGGGCTTTCATTGGGAAAGGAAGGGGTGTGACATATGTCGAGAGCCTACTGTGTGCCAGTAGCCTTATGTTCAGCATCTCAGGGGTTCAGTGGTGTCATACATGGACTTGGTGTGGCCCCCAGGAGCCATCAAGGTGGAGTAAGAGTACCTAGCAGGGAGAGTACTAGCCTGCCTCTGTTGTTATTTTTTATCCTTTCTTCTCTTTTGCTCCTCATTTAAGTGAAGATTCATAGCTAAACACTGAAAAACATCATTTCATGTCACCCAATGCTGGTGGTTGTAGGAAGGCTGCTGTTCTGTGGATGATGTCTCTGAGGCACAGAGAGGTGAAGCAACCCACCTGAGGTCACACAGAAGTCTGGGAAGTAGCAGAGCTAGGACCTGAGCCCATGTCTCTCTAACTTCAACTCCTGTGGTTTTTCTCCTGTACTGGGAGCCTCCCAAAGCTACTGAATTTTAATTCCTCATAAAAATCCTTACAGAAGCCAAAACTTTCCACCAATCCAGTGCACCCTAGAGCAGAAGCCTGGGTTCCAGGTCACTGGAGGTTGGACATTTATTCATTAGTTCATTTTCCCATTTCATTCAGCCAGGACCAATTAAACACCTGCTCTGTGGCCAATACAGAACCATACCGGTGAGCCTCATAACCATGGTCTAAACACACCGTGTGAATGCCCATCGAAAACCAGTGTCAGCAGGACTTCTTGGATCCATGACAAATTAGGAAGGACAGTCTGGGTGGTCAGGGGCCTTACCAGCCATTACAGCTGCGTCAGGTTGAATGCACAAAGGCAGTGGGTTCCACGAAGATCAAACAGACTCTGGAATTGGATCAGACCTGGTGAATCCCAGCATGGTCCCTGCCTTAGTTACTTTCTATTGCTGTGATAAAACACTGACCAAAACCATCTTGGGGAGAAAAGGGTTTATTTCACCTTCATCTTATAGTTCATCATGGAGAGAAGACGGCAGGAGCTCAGGGTGGGAACGAAAGTGCAGACCATGGAGGAACTCTGCTTGCTGGCTTACTTTCTTGACCTGTGCTCAGCTGCTTTCTTATATAACACAGGACCACCTGCCCAGGGCTGGCACTACCCACAGTGAGCTGGGCCCTCCCATATCACTCAATAATCAAGTAAATGCTCTACACACATGGGCACAGACCAGTCCAATGGAGACAATTCCTCACGCGAGGTTCTCTCCATCTATGTCAAGTTGAAGCTGGCCAACATAGTCCTTGATTCACAACCTCGGAAACATCTTGTGGTCTCTCTGGGCCTCAGTTGTCTTACTCCCAAAATAGAGAAAATGATGCCATGTTCACAGCACTGTTAGGACAGTGAAATGGTGTCACAGAAAGATCCTGCATGCTGCCTGCCACGAAGACCCCTGAGACAGCACCTTCCTCTTACAGGATGCCAGCGTTCCTTTCCATCCAAACCCTCCTGGTTCCTCTCCTTGAGGCCAGGCCTGGGTCTGCCTCCTGTGGCCCATGTTGGCTTTCCCAGACCCTGGTTTTAGGACCCTGCCTCATCCTGCATCTTCTTATGGCCCTTGCTCTCCAGGCTGGCTGGAAAATGGGAAGGCTCCCTGCAGTCAGTGTCAGAGGTGAGGGTGTATTGGTCAGACTTTCCATGGCTGTGAAAGAATACCTCACATAAAAAATTTGGGGAGGAAGAATTTTGGGGGCTCAGAGTTTCAGCCAGTGGGAGCATGTGGGAGAGTATTGGTCAGACTTTCCATGGCTGTGAAAGAATACCTCACATAAAAAATTTTGGGGGCTCAGAGTTTCAGCCAGTGGGAGAATGTGGGAGAAGAGAGAGAGAGAGAGAGAGAATAGGAACAAGGTAAGATACCCTCAAGGCTAGGGACACAGCCTTCAATACATGAGCCTTTAGGGGGATGCTTCATATCTAAACCACATCAGAGGGGCACGGAGGAGGCCACTCACAGAATACTGTGAGGCATCTAAAGCCTTTGAATTTGGTCCAGTGGGAAGAACTTGGGAAGGAGTCAGTCAAGAGGACCCACTTCCCCTCTTGATCCTTCAACCTTGACTTCTTATTTGAGGGGTGAGACCCATCCATCCTACACCTCCTCTGGTGTCAAAAGGCAGTAGGTTGTCCCTCCTGGTGCCCGATGCGATGCCTCTCCCACAGCCAGCTCCTGCTCCTCCACCACATCTGGCCTTTCCCTTCCCACACGGCTCCTCACTGCTGCTTCTCAGGGTCTGTCCTCAGCTTTCGGTCTTCTTGTTCTCATACCTTGTGCAGTTGATCACACCGACTTCCCTAACTTTGACTTGGAACCAAATCCTAAGACTTACCTGTTGTTCCCTGCCTCTGTTTCTGACTGCCTTCCCTCAGACACCTCAGAACAACCCACTC